CACGCACGCACGCACGCACGCACGCACGCACGCACGCACGCACGCACACATTAAATATTCCAATTTTTATTTTTACATATATATTGATACATTACATATATATTGATGTAGTAAAATTTTGATTTACGTTGTTCGCAATTCATTCATTTCTACTAATGTATTAGGAAATTTTATCCATTCATCCATAATTTCTTGTCTTGTTATTATATTAATCACTTCATGTACACTACTACGGGAGACTGTTGGTTGACTTATAGTCATATGAATATTTGATCCAATATCCATTTGATATGATTCGCTTGCAAAAAAATGTAATGCTGTCATGATCTGTATTAAATTAATTTTGTATTTATTATCTCATTTTAGTATTATATATTATATATATTCTATAAAGTTCTACAAAAATTATATAAATATTGCAATATATACCCAAAGATAAAGGAAATCATTTAAAAAATATGTTTATTTAGTCGTTTTTTTTTAGTATAGAAAGTTTTAAAATAATTACTTAATTGTGTAATCTATTGCAGATATTCTCGTTTGAGGAATTAAATGGTTCAACAATTTCTATTAAATGTCTTGCTGTAGCTTTATTTAAGTGAAATAAATTGTTTATCGGATAGCTGAAAAGGATGGTCTCGAATGTGAAATCTTCTTTATCTTCTTCTTCTTCTTTCCATATTTTTCAATTTATTCATGATTGGTATTATAATATCTTCGAGATCTATAATGCAAAGAGCCATTCATGCCATTCGTTTCGAGATGAACGTATGTAATGACCCATTCGTTGGCTTGCGAATGAAAAATTGCGTATACGTTTCATTTACGACCGTCAAGAATAGCATTTTACAGATTTTAAAATGCGATCTAAAATTCGCAATATATAATTTACGTACACGTAAGTATTTCAAGAATAAGTTCTAAAGATTTTCAGATGCGATCATTCGAAATGCGATCGATTTAAAATGTGATTTAAAATTTGTAATATGCAATTACGTACACGTATTTTAAGAATAAAGTTCTAGGGATTTTCAGATGCGATCATTCGCAATATGCAATTTGCGTATGTGCAACTATTTCAAAAATAGGGCCCCAGGACGTTTCTTCAAATTTACCAATTTGAACTTTGCGCCGCGATTGCGATATCTCAGTTTGTGAAACACAAAAAAAAAATAACACTTTTCTCATATAATTTGATACTCAGCTATTAAGCGTAGAATTTAATCGATGCAATCGTTGCTGACGTATGAAAATGTAGACCGAGTTCATCCTGGGGTCTCGCGTAAAGAGAGCCACGGGCGTCTCGCCGCCGTTCTATGCGAATTTCGTTGCGCATGAACTTGGCATGGACACATCACCCGTGTCTCTTGATCCGCAATTTGTTTCAACTAAAGAGAATTATAATCTTAAAAACGTAAATCCATCAATAATGATATCGACGGACCGTTGTCCGTCCTCGCCTACATTGTCGTTCGAGTTCGGGTGCGCGGACGTGCTCGTTGGTTGCCGGGTTCTGTGAATTAATAAAAGTGTGTGAATTGTTTGATAAGAGTATATTTTATTTGTATCAAACCAGATGGATACACAATAGTGTGGGCTCGCCAGGCGTACTTGCTTGATGGGCGTGATGTACGGCGGACCGCGAAATTCATGATGCGCACGCGATATGCGTGATGTGTATGGAGTGTCGGGGCCTACGGGCCGTGCCGGCGTGTGATTGGTCGAGCAGTGTTAGCGTCGATGGTGCGGGCCGCAGTACTCGATATTTTCGCGCGGTTAGTATGTATTTGGAAGTTCGGAGCGAGAATGCTCGCTCCGCTTCGCAAATTTTGCACGAGAGACAAATATGCTTGTTGACCGAGAATACTCTATTCCATATGCTCGTGTACTGACGAGATTGATGAGACTGAGAATATTCCGTCTCGGAATGGAAGATAGAGAGGAACGAGTGACAAGTATGCTCGTCAGGGACTGAGAATGCTCCGTCCCGGTTTGCTCGTAGCGTTGGTAAGGAAGCGTTGAGACTGAGAATGCTCTATCTCGAGGGAAGCGAGAATCAAGTATACTTGGCGAAGACTGAGAATACTCTGTCCCGTTTTCTCACTGTGTGCGGTTCTAGGATATCGGACGTCGAGTATGCTCGGCGGAGATCATGAATGCCTGCTCTCGGTTTTCCGGTCGGAGATGCAGATAGATCGGAGGATCGGATCGGTCTGGTTCTTTCCAGATTCGGTCAGGTTTATATATCCGATCGTATTTGTTCTTTGTTGTTAATAATTTAGCAACAAATGGCGCGCGGGTCGTCAGCGGTATGCATGTGCGGTACGCACGTGACATGTGCGTACTTGGTTGCGCGCGCAATGGTCGGTATGTTCGGTAGTGCGCGCGTCGGTCGGCATGTTTGGTAACAGATGCGCGGTCGCACTTACAGCTAGAATGATGCGCGAGAGGCGTATCGTTATAATGAAAAAATAATATCAAACTAAGAAAAGAGTTTATATTTGAATAATTGTATTTTTTTATTTATCATAAGTTTTTAATTACCACTATGATTTAACAATCTTTTAAAAATCTAAGAACAATTTGATAATTTAAATACAATATTTTTATTCTCTAGTTTATGATTTCAATTAAAACAATTTATTATTTACAAATATTAAATATTTAGTGACATGTATAGTAAGACAGAAATGTTACTGTGTACAAATAAAGAGAGAAAAAGAGAAGACAGAATGAGTGTCTATTTTTTTCTACTACTTAATATATTTATTATATTTTCATATATAGATTTAAAATATTGTCTGTGTATCAATATCTTAAGATATTCAAAATAATTTTAAAGTAAAAACAAACTGAATATCAATATAATTTAAGGAAACTACGTAATCATTCCGTCATACTTTTGATTGAAAATCTAGTATTGAATAGAAATCCAGTATTGAAATCATATTATAACCTATGATAGAGTTATCGAGAAATTTTGTTTCATTTTTTTGAAAAATTTGAGACACCTTGTATATTGTGAAAAGTTATTTTAAATCATCGAAAGATTAGATTTAAAATATATATTTTATTTATACAGTATATTGGGAACTTTCCAGCAAGAGACACAGGCGACACAAAATGACATAGTGCTTTCCAACAACGACACAACATTACACAGCTTAAAAGCTGAGTTGCAGCTTATGTGTTAAATGCATGGTTACCAATTATTTGGAAAAGAAAATTTAAATATTAAAAAATAAAAATTAATAATTAAATTAAAATTAATTTATTAATATTGTCGCGCTTTCGCAGCGGCCACTCGCACAAGCCACTCACTCACGCGATACGCGGAAATAAATAAAAGTTGTTTACAAAACAACAAACTTTAATAAGCACAACAACTAGTTATATAGCTCGTGATACAATCTCGCGCTCGCAATTCGCTCGCGCGTCATCTCTCAAATGATCTGTCAAATCAATATTCATAATCGACAACGCAGAGTATGATCTTCATGTTAGAAATCCTATTCCGAGGGTAACTCCGGGGCACCCCTTGGTTGTAATACTACTCCCCTCCTCTTCGAAATTGTCGTCCCGACAATTCCAGGGAACTCTCGCAGAAAAATCGGTTTCTTCTTCCATGGTGAAGCTCTCAGGGAATCTGTCGGCTTCCTGCTCTACTCCGAGCTGCTGCTGTGGGTTACCGAGCGCCGAATCAATTCCAACACTCCTTCTTCCTTTCCCTCCCGGAAATCTCGTGCCGCTACGAGGTCATTTTCCTTCTTCTTTCTTCTTTCTTGATGCTTTTTCATCTTGTGTTTGTGTTTTACGCACTTCTCTCTTGCATCTTCGGACAAGGAAGGGAAGCTTCCGTGGACTCTTTCGTCCTATAGACACCCCAAATCCCTGCCTCGGCATTCGCCCTAAGTCCCTTGGAAAAACTACGATTCAAAAAAACCGAGGGCGAGACAGACTTCTTTAAAAAAAAAGGATTTTTTCAGTCAGATGTTCGGGCACAAAGCAGAAGATCTTCCTCCCCTAATTCTTTCACAACTCCTCTTCAATGAAAAACTTAAAAAAAAACAAATAAATAAATAGTACTACGTTACTATTTATTCCCACTACTCATTTTTCATCAATTAGCGTTCTGTGTTAAAGCGCCAGTGCATGAGGATCCAGCTTAAGTCTTTAATTTTATAAAAATTTGTGAAAGGAAACAAATTATATTTAATGTTTAAAGCTATAATGGGCATCCCTACGCTCCGTTTCTTCTCCGAATCTTCCCCTGACCGATCATCCGATCGGGGACCGCCGACCATTAGACGGAGTGCGGCAGTGGCTGCAAAAGGCATTTACGCTTATTTTTTAATCTGTAATATTTCGCGAACTCCGAAGCGTTGGAGTTATAGCGTGGGAATACCGCGAGTCCACGATTGTTTTCATGGTATTCCACCGAGCCGTACCACCAAGCGATGATACTCCACCGCGCCACGAAAGCGAGCGTGCGCCCCGTATCGCGTCACAACCGTGTCTATAAGCAATGTAACCGTCTCCGCGTCGCGCCGTTATTTCACCACTCCTCTTCCTATTCCTAGACATCCCCACTCCGATTTCTTATCTTCCTAAAAAACCAATTGAACCGATTCCTTTTCTTCGCTTCTGTGAAGGTTGCTACCTCCGAGATCAATCCGACCGAAAAATACCGAGGTCGATCTCGGGTATAAAAAGATATCACTCTCCATAGAAAAATCATCCTGTTCCGCGCTCGCCTTCTGAGAGCACGTCTCACGAGAAGCGAGTATCCCGATTCCGGTTGCAGCCTGTGATATATTGGGACCCTCTCCAACGCGCCAAGTTCACTTGACCGAAACCTTTCGAACTTTCCACGACAAGCTGAGAGTTGCTAAGATCTCCTCAGCGCATCGAGTTCATTCGATCCGACTCCGCCGCCATCGATTTCCGCTGCTATGTATCAGAGTGCCCTCCGATACAACCACACATCCGTCCGATTGATTCCGAGTACTGGGATACACCCCGATCGGCCGAGTACTCGGCAACCACCGAAACCTTCCGCCCGAGCTGGGGTTCACCTCAGCTGGCCGAGTACACTCGGCAGTCCGAGCTCTTGCGACTCCGCTCGTGAGAACGGAGAAAGCACGGGTACACCCGTTCTCCGACTCGAGTGGTCATAAACTTTCTCCGCGAAGAATCCACCTGCGAGTATAAATACAAACGCGCGATTTAAAGATCCGCGAAAAATACGTGCGCTACTGCCCCGCATCACCGAACTGCGCGCAGTGAGCTTAGTATTGCGTCGATCGTCAAAACGATACCTCGTTTATAAAAACCACATAAACACGCACTGCACGCCGATCTGTCTGCTCACGACTAATTCTGTTCATATGATTATTCGTGCAATTTCCATCCGATACTACTTGTTATTTCTTTCGTTGTTAATAAATTGTTATTATATAATAGTCACACCTACGATTTAATTATAATTATAACCCATTATTCTGTTTCCAATGTCCTCGCTTCCCCACCTGGAAATCGACTGACCGCTATCCGCGTGAGAAAATAAGACCGTTTTAAAGTGTAATCTACTACTAGCGTAATCTACTAGCAACATTGAGAATCAAATTGTTCTAGCAAACAGCTTTACACAATACTTCAGTGTTTGACACTTATATTTAATTGTTTCCTAACTCCCATTATAAATAATAATTATATAGTTTCGACCCTTTAAATATGAATGAAACCATAGACCTGTGGCTTTGGTGAGGAGGTCGTCCACGATGTTCTGAGTTTGACAGCGAAAAAGATGTTGGCCGCGATGAGATTCGAACTTAGGTCCTCAGGTGTCCAAAGCAGGCGCACTATCACTGCGCTATGCAGGCCATGGTTCTCTTCGTGGATGCTTTGCTAGGTATTAGTTGTGTGAGCGGGGACCGCCACAGGATTCCCCCCTTAGTGGACAAGCTGCGATTTTTCTTCTCTTTTTGATATTTGCTCGTTGCCCGATGTGTTACTGCCCAGGGAAGTATGAGATGCGCGATATAAGGAGGGCACGTTGCCGCTGCGATTCTATTGTGCGCTAATTTCCTCGTTGGATGGGCTAGCCGATTTGGACATCGACAGTGAGGTGTGTGAGCGAACCTTGAAAATCGAGATGTCCGGTAATTGGCTCTTTACCGGTTGGCGACGTTGGACTGGCCGTATGGACGTCGACAGGGAGGTGTGCGAACCTCTGTAAGGCGAGTGCGTCCGAAGATTGGCCGTAGAGAGTCACGTCGTCGTAATCAGCGGGTTTCATATGTCTGTATTACGACGGGTGCAATTGAGAAGATTGCGTTGCGTTGCGTTGCGTGTTCATATCACGTCGGGGTCACCACTTGTGATGGACGATTGCCAAACTGTTTAGGATGACTGCCAACTCTGCCAGAAATGTAAGACGGCTGGTCTCTGAAAAGAGGCAGGAAGGATTCTAGGCAAATTGAATTTATCACAATTTGATGTTCGACCGTCTCCAGCAACGACTCGCGAAGTTTTGACTCGATCTCTTTATTTCGAACAGACAACGGATAGAGACTCTAGAACATTCAACCGGTTAACAAACAAAACGCGGATGCGATATTTACACGGCTTACAATTAATATCACAAAGCAAAGAAAGTCCGGAAACGTACAATGCCAACAAGGACACCGCGAACACAAGGAATACGCGTGACAAATATTATGTTGCGGAACGTACAATGCCAGCAAGGGCACCGCGAACGCGAAGGAACGTTCGAGATTAGAGACGATGAAAAAGCAGAAAAAACGCTGAAACGATCGCTCGCGAGAAAAGGGAGTGCTGGAAAACGCACGCTGCGTGGCCACGCAGAACGCTTGCGAAACGTAGAAGATCACGGGCAGCTGCCGCACGCAGAATGCACGCTAACGTGATAAAATTAATGCATGCAGATAAGACCAGAGAGACGCGACGCTGACGAATGACG